ATGAGACCTTCTTGAATACAGCTAAGATCAGCTCCTGTGTCAAACAAAGCTTCTGTTTCTGCAATATAATTATCATTGATAACCAGTTTTATAAAAACAAAATGTTTTTTGTAGAATATTATGTTTGGCTGAGAAGGTTTATTAATGATTTCTTCTTCAGTGGCTGATTTTTCAATTGTTTTAATTTCCCTATTGATAATAGCAATTTCTGTTTGAAGATCTTTAACAGTTACAGGTTTAGTACTAGGTTGACTCTTAGTTAAGACATTTACTGAGGAATATCCTTTGTCTAAGGAATTTCCTATGTCTTTTCTAATTTCAATACTAGTAGAATTAACAGAATTATCAATTGATTGTCCGGAAATCAAAAGTTTAGAAGTTTCAACAGACTCTTGGTTTGGTAAATCTACTGGGTTTGATAGATCTTCGGGAGAATCTGGTAGATCTATATCTACTAGGTTTATATAAATAGATTTTGATGGATCAGTGGATTCTGAATATTTATGAGAGGATTGTAGTGTCTGGATTGTTTGAGGTAGATCCATGGATAGATCTAGGGGTTCTGATTTAGTTTGTATTGGATCCACGGGATCTAAAGTAGAACCCTGAGGTTTTGACATAGAGGATGCAGGTTTTGAAATATTTTGAACTGGATTTTTGAGTTCTGGTGCAGACTCTTTAGTTGTTTGAGACTCATACCAGTCAAAGAAATGAATATTATGTTTTGTTTTTGTCAAAAAGTCATAAAAGTTTTCTTGAATATTTTTTCGGGCTTCTCCCTTATATTTGTCAAAAAATTGTTTTCTTTTAAAATGGTTGTGGTTTGCAAAGAATTCAGATCTAATGTTTTGTTCATTAATCTGGAATTCAGAATGGTTGTTTTCTAGTTTTCTTTGTATAAGAATTGACTGCTCAATTTGAGCAATTCTAGTTTGAAGTTTATTCAAAGATCTATTGTTTGAATAATAGACTACTTCCCCATCACTGATGATGGGGAAAGAAGATGTTGAAATAGATTTGTCATAATCTTCCTTTCGTTCAGATTTGATATCTGATTTGATTAGAGGATTTGACGATTGGGTTGCTAGTCTCAAAATATTGAATTTTTGGTTGTATTGGAAATGTTGGCTTGTGTATTTGAGTAGATGGGTTTTGAAAATGGATAAGGCTAGCTGTTTTGTAGAAGGAAAAAGGGTTTTGAAACCCATAGGTTGGGGTTGTTTATTGGGCCTTGTATGGTAACTCAATGGCCCAAACTGTTTGTAAAAAGATCCAAGATTTCTTCCTTGGGGCTGATCTTCCGTCGGATTGGGAAACCAGTCAGCTTGTTGGTTCTGTTCACCAGTTGTTTCTTTCCAAGACTTAATCTTCTTGTATTGGGTTTCAAGAAGGCCTTTGAAGAAATCTTTGTTTCTATCTGATTTCATCAGGAATATGTATTGATATCTTCTGGAGCCTGGGAATAGTTTTGATGAATCCTCTTGGATGATTCCAGAATCATCATCAGATGTGATATTGAATAACATTGTTCCTGGCAGGATGTTCCCATCTTGTAGATCAGATTCATCCCTGTTGGTTGTGACTAGAATATCGTGAATAATATTTTTGTCTTCAATGATGAGATGTTCCTCCCACCATCCTTTGAATTGCCCAATAAATCCTATGAATAGGATATGAGCAATCAGTTGATTGCAGCCATGTAATGTTTGTTTAAACATAGCTGTGGTTGTCATCTGTTGAGATGCCATAGGAAGATTGTGTCTGAACATTTCATCTATGCTCCTTTCATAGATGTCTTCCTTATTGTATGAGTGTTGAAGGATATTGGATTCTATTCTGAAAATATCAGAATGAATCATTTGAGGGTGGTATAGATTTTGGATGTTTTCTTGGTTGGGAATATAATTTTGTATGGTATTGATCAAGGAAGTTCTTTGAATTTCGAACTCTTGTTTGGGTAAAGGAATTGGAAAGTATTGTTCAATCCAAAATTTTTTGTCTTCTAAAGGTTTGAAAAGCAAGTTTGAGAAATAGGTTTCTGGAAGAGGAGGTTTTGGGATGAATTGGGTAAAAAGATTGAAAAGGTATTTTTCTGGATAGATTGTAAGAATCTTCTTGGCATGGGTATAGGCTGCCTCTTGGTCAATTCTGATTTCAATTTCATGAATGACCAATTTTGTTGAAGCAGACTCTGCCTGAATCTCTTGTTTGGTGACTAATTTGTTCGGAGAAGATCTTGTTTGAGGTTTTTGCCCGATGCGTCTGGTTTTCCACCGGATGTGTCTGATAGCTTGACATTTATTTCTTGTTTGAATAGAAGAATGATCAATTCTATTCTTCCAAGAATATAAATGTTGGATGTATTTGAATCTCTGGATTTTCTGACTCCATTTGCTGGATCTGATAGATCTTGGAATATTGATTCGAGATCTAGCCAGATTTGTCAGATTTGATTTTCCAGATACTTCTTGTATATGAGGCTGTCTCTTTAATTTGTTGAAGATCCATGTCTCCTCAGTTTGTCCCTTGTATTTGCTGGATAACCATGTTTTTTCTGTACATGATTCCACCTTGAGGCTTGGGTACTCGATATTAAGTACCTTTAGCTTATCAAGCTGCAACTGTTTGTAAGTTATGAAAGAATATATAGACAATTTAGGAATTTCTTCCTGATCATTGTTTGCAGGAATTTCTTTTGAATTTTTCCGATAAATATGTTTATTATTGGAAGAGATATTAAAATCACGAAATAAGTTTGAAATAAATATTTGTAAAGAATTTTGAATTATATCTTTAGTTGACTGGGTTTCAACTAACTGGTTTTCTTGTTTAAATGAAACAATCTTTGTTGGTGAATTTCTAATAACCATTGGTTTGGAAAAAGGTTGAGAGGGAATTTCAGCAGTTTCTTGTTTAATAATTGATTTGAAGAAATCAATTTTTGTTTGAACATTTTCATTAGTTATAGGTTTGATACTATGTTGATTCTTATTTAAGACATTTATTGAGGAATATCCTACGTCTAAGGAATTTCCTATGTCTTTTCTAATACAAGTAGAATTAATAGAATTATCAATTGATTGTCTGAAAATCAAGATTTTTGAAGTCTTAATAGACTCTTGGTTTGTTAAATCTACTGGGTTTGATAGATCTACGGGAGAATCTGGTAAATCTATATCTGTTGGGTTTATATAGTTTGATTTTGATGGATCTATGGATTCTGAGAGTTTATGAGAGGATTGTAGTGTCTGGGTTGTTTGAAACAGATCTATGGATAGATCTAAAGGTTCTTGTGTAGAATATGTTTGAGATAGATCTATGACTTTTGGCTTAGTTTGAATTGGATTTACGGGTTCTAAAGTAGAACCCAGAGGTTTTGACATAGAGGATGCAGGTTTTGAAAGGTTTTGAACTGGATTTTTGAGTTCTGGTGCAGACTCTTTAGTTGTTTGAGACTTATACCAGTCAAAGAAATGAATATTTTGTTTTGTTTTTGTCAAAAAGTCATAAAAGTTTTCTTGAATATTTTTTCGAGCTTCTCCCTTATATTTGTCAAAAAATTGTTTTCTTTTAAAATGGTTGTGGTTTGCAAAGAACTCAGATCTAATGTGTTGTTCATTAATCTGGAATTCAGAATGGTTGTTTTCTAGTTTTCTTTGTATAAGAATTGACTGCTCAATTTGAGCAATTCTAGTTTGAAGTTTATTCAAAGATCTATAGTTTGAAGAAGAACTAGATTTTATAAAATATGCTTTAACTGGAGAAGTCATTGAAAATTAAAACAAGAAAATAAATAAAATAAACAAACACTTAAATGATTTTGAAGACTTATAATCCTCTTCCCTTTGGCACAGAATCCTTCGGGATCCATGGAGGATAAACCATTTTTCTTAATCAGATTATAAAGGATAGTGTGAAACCTACAAGAAAAGATCTAACCTTTTGAGAAGAATTAACTATGCATGACGACCATATTTCCATCATATTAAAGATAGTAAAAATAAACCTACGAGAATAGATCTAAATCTTTTGAGAAAGATTAACTATACATGACGACCATATTTCCAAACAAAATCATAAGATTGATAGTAAAAACTCATTTTCCCTGGATCTGATCTTGTGACACTTCCCCATCTTGGAGTATGTCCCAAGAACCTCAACGCCCCTACAAAGCCAAATCCCATGGTCTTACCTGGACCGAACGTTGGCACTTACTGGATCCATGCCATTCAATCAGATCCAAAGTCATGAAATCAGCACTATCGAAATTATAATAAGCTTGAATACATTAGATGGTAATCACGAAGTTAACCAGTCTCATCTAATAAGATCTAAACTTGTAGATCTACACTATCAGTAGCATAAATAAGAAATATATATATATATATATATAATTTGATGTTTAAATTCAAATTCAAATGATGTGGTATTCATTCAATCCCGTCAATGTATACATTGATATTGTAGGAAAGATTAATCCAAAGTTATTCAACATCAAAGCTTTGGGGAAGTAATCATGGATGTAGGCTCTCGGCTGTGCCAACAGTGGATTATATTGTGAGAAAAGGGAAGACATGGTTCCGAATTTAATCCAAGCTAAACTATCATATGTCATTTCCACTAAAATTAACTATCAAAATTGGGCTGGTTTATTCAGCAAATGGTTTCATTTGACTTGACAAGTTTGGCATGCATTAGGCAGGCGAAGGGAGAAATGATCAGAAACTCTGATTGCAAGGTTCCCAATGAATCCCTTGTACACCTAATTTCTTTATCAATGGTTTTTGCTGCAACTTTATAACGGAGTTGAAGCAGCATGTTTTTTCAAAAGGCAACATATTCATCTTCTTGACAAATAACAACCCTCACGAAAATCTGAACTGGATTCCGAAATTCAATGTCGAGATAGAGTCAAGGCATAACAAAACAATAAATACCGATTAACCTCAATAGGTGTTCGCAAATTGAATACCATTTCTCATCCAGCCTTTTTTTTTTTCCTCCAAAAATTGATCGGAGTTAGATCTCGACCTGTTTATTTAAATACTTGCAAAAGAGTACATGATGAAGGGGCCATGAAACCTTATTTCCTAAATCAGATTCCATGTAAACTTCATATGTTTCAATGGATTCTTAATATGCTCCGCACTTGTGATATCGCAAAAGCGGTTGAATTTTTGATTCGACACATTGTTTTGTTTGAATCGTTTTACTAGTACCTGAACACTGCTTAACCACTAGGACAAATTGATCTTTTATATAGTGTTCGTCGTCTTTGCATTGAGAATTGTTTGCTTCGTTATCTTCCCATTTGTCGCATTGTGGGACACTTGCACAGGTACTCACAGCAGACTGGCTTGCTTGATTTCAACTGAAAGGATTTATGAAAATCTTTGACAGATTGTATGGTCTTTACCTCCTCCGTAGACATGACGAATTTTGTTTTGTGATTTCTCCTTTCTCATATAGCTTTTCTGCACTTACCAAAGGAAAAGAGTTAAACCCTGTTTGCAAAATATCAAGCAATCCAATGCTATTAAGCAAGCAACAACTTATGGTGCTCCAAATCTTTCCCCTTTTAGCTGGCAGGTTATTCCAAGCTCTATAATGGACTTAGATTAGCAGCCATAAGGCAAAATGTTTTCAGTTTTCACGTTACCTTAAAAACAGGCTGTATAGATACCATCCATCACATATTGCTAAAGAAGGGAACAACCGTTGTAATGCGCTTAGTTGTCTAATTGAACTAAAGCATATAATACTAACGGTTGTTTGGCTTTCAGGAACCTAATTCAATTGGGGCTTGAAAATAGTACTATAGTAAAGGAAGACATTTCTGTCAAAAAAGACACTGGGACAGCTGCAATTCCATACATATGCATGTATATGTCAAAGAAAACCCCATGCTGAACTTCAAAAGCCCGATCCTAAACCTCAAGATTGTCACAATTAACCTCTGTATTGCGTGCAGAACCACTAAAGAAAATCTCTACAATGTGCTGCAATAAATTTTTATTTACTAACTTGTATATCTAGTAACCACTTTCTGCTTTCCAAATATGTATGATTTCTGCAACATATCTCATTCCGCTTTTTCAGATCCGCCCATAATGTCCTTCAGCTTTTCCTTAAGCTCACCATTCTGCGTGAAACACTTGTTTTCTTGAGTGCTTATTCAAGGCAACAAAAAATAGAAGAATTATATATCATAAACAATACCTGATGCATATTCAGGATGATATCTGATCCCCCAATGAACTCACCTTTGATGAATATTTGTGGGAATGTAGGCCAGTTGCTGCAACAAAAGTAACCGAATTATAAAGCAAGCGTCTTCTGGACAAATAAATCCACCCTTCTTCTCATTCTTCATTCAGATATTTGTTGGCTGATTTTAGGAAGGGGGAGAGCAGAAAATAAATATGCTAATTAAATAGTGGACTTAAAAGAGGGCATGAAGGTAGAGAATTGACAACATATTAGATGAGATATTTGAATACTTCCTCAGAGATCCCCCTGAAGATGCAACTAGCAACAGCAGCAGAAGGTTTGAAAAGATGAGCTGTTGCAATCTGTAGGTTTCTGGTTACTATAAAAATTAAACATTTGCAACTCTTTAGTGCCCATATTTTTACAGCCTTATAAAAGATAGATCTTGCAACAAAATGTATCTAGATAATTACATATGGAACACAATTAATATACTGTATCATATAACAGAATAATTAGCACAGGTACGCCATATTCTTCTAGCATGCAAATGAGTTGCTATCTCAGGGCCCAATAGCAATTGAGAGATTGAATCATAGTTTGTTCTCATAATAATAAACTTTAAAAACAACCTTACTTTAATGTAGAGAAGGGTGTCGAGTACATCAGGTTCCCATAAATGGGTCCCTAAGCTTAAAAGGATTCTGAGGATAAACATCCCAAAGTTTAAATTAAGTTTAAATTGATTATCAAACCTGATCAACTGAAAATGCATTATAGAAGGAATCCATGTATAATTCTGTCTGAAAGACATGATACACTACTTATATCTCTACTTAAGCTACAAGAGAAGCTAATTGTCAGTAGCATAACTAGAATGCCATTGCTAATTGCTCAGTAGGATGATATGCACAAAATAGAATATTTTTCAGCCCTGAAGAAGACTAAAGGTGCTGCACATGGTAGTTACCTATAAGCTTTTACGGCATTCTTAAGTTCAAGGTCTTCCAATATATTCCTGGCGCTTATAGGTACACCTGCAAGGGGCATAACAATGATTAAGAATCAAGAAACACATCATGTCTACCCAGACAAGACTGAGGCCAGAATCCGAAAATTGGCAATATTTAATACTGGCATTATTTCCCTCCCAGCAGCTTTCTTTTGCAAGAATTTTACTCTAAAATTCTCTGAGTCAATACTGAATTCAAACAATCAAAATTATTACAAGTCTCATTTATGCGACATAATGCAAAGCATTTTCACGCTAAAGTATCTAGCTTAATTACATCACGGTCTTCTCCATATAGTCCAGCCATATTACAGCTAAACCATGTTTACCTTTTTGCATGAATTGTTTTCTAACTTGACTCAACCTGTAAACCAAAACAGAGCATCACATAGATATCCAAATAAATTGACTGGGCGCTTGTAAACTTACTATATTCTTTCAGCACCCTCACAGCTAATGAGCTGAACCCGCAGCGAGGAAGATCAGGCACCCCTTTCATATAAATCATAACGTGTTTCTCTTTCACATCCTACATTAGAATTCTAACTAGGTTAATAAGATTCAAAGAGAAGGCACAGAATCTAAAAAACATTCACATGAATGGTAACAACTGTATACACCAATAAGTGGATATCTATCAAATCTTTTAAGCTTCACCCAAAAATTTAAAACAATTATACATATATATATGTGTTTTACCATACAAAAGACGATGATTATCATGCCAAATCTGTTCAAGAGCATTCACCTGTTCAACAATGTCCTTCAATGATAGACCAGAACTCTCAAGCTTAATAGTGGGCCTAAAATCTTCATGGGTGTCTGGATCATTGGGCACAGTAGTTGAATAGCAAATTACACCTCTACAGAAGAATGTAGCGGCCTGTCATGGACAATTGGTAATTCCTCAGTAATTAAATCCAAGCAAGATGAATTTAACAATGAGTGCTTCAAAAGCAAAAACATTCAGCCAGTGAAAATTTAGGAGAATAGGATTTCATGACAACGAGAGATAGAATTGCAGACATGAAGGAATATGATGTCAAATAATTTCACAGTAAAATACAATGTTTCCAGCAGATGCAACTTCAATCTCAAATATTTGAGCAAAGAATTAAAATACAGAAAGCAAGACGAAATTGGGTTTACTTCAAGTCTTAGGTAGTTAACAATCAAACCAAAAATGAGTGAAACCATATTGGGGGTAGAAAGACTAAGCAGCATGAAATGACTATGACCAACAGCACTTTTCAGAATAATCTAGAGTCGAGTCTTGCACTAGCCATATGGTTCAAGCACATATAAATTTATGGGCAGAATGGAACTAAAGGCAGTGTAAACTGGGGAATAAATGCTAAAGTTAGAGGACTGAATAAGATAGAATAATTTTGCTGTCTTACCATAGCAGCTGATCGAGCAGCTGGGACAGCTGCCATGCTCCTCCCAAGTGCAGCTGCCAACGACCAGGCCATAATGTTCGAGCTGATTTATGTATTAAACTTTCTACCTGCAGAGAAGATAAAGAAAGGTAGTTTTACCTCTAGAAAATTGTTTTTTGCAGTTTTGATCCAATCAAGTGCAGGAAAATTACCCACCACGACTACCTCAACAGATTTTACACCCAAGGAAAAGAAGATACCTAAGTGTTTCATAAACAATCCTTAATGCGCAAACCAGGAAAATATATCCATGTTTTTGGCACTAACATTGAGGGAATTTATTTATGAAGTATAAATGTTGAATGACCCAGGACAAATGTTGACACTAGTTTAATTCTTGTAAAATATCCACTGAGTAGTACTGGCATACTTCTGAAAGGCTAGATCACTTCTAACCATTTATTTTCTACAAAACACCAAAGTTCCCTTCTTCGAATGATGCCCAAAGCCAACACTAGAAAATGACTGGAGAAATAAAAAGAAATGACACATAACAGGAGTTCCTCATTTTTCTTGCTAGTATTCTGTTGTATTAGAGCTTAATCTCAGAAGACACTCAAAAATGAAGTTCTTGTAACAGTCTAAGTTTTAAGTGTTATAGTCAAATTTGATGGCTACATCTTAAGGTAGTCACATTCAATTTTACATCTTACACACACGAGTCTTTAGCTTTCTTAGTTGTTAGGTTCTTTAGCTATCCAGTTTGGTTAATTCTTACAGATCCTTTCTTAGTTGTCCAATAAGTTTGTATCAGTCATGATAGGTTCAGAGAAGAAGGATTAATACGCAATTATGTCGAGTTGAGTCAGTGATGTTCTGGTCTCTTAGTGTATTTAAAGCAGTTCTACCTTCGGTGCTTAATCGTAAAGAGAAATTCCTAGAATGTCTAGCTCTCTTGCTTCCTCATAAACTCCTACTGCTTCCTTTCTTATTTAAAATTCTCAAACTTCCTTTCAGATTCTTACAATTTTTTAACCAGTAAGTTTTGAAAAAGATGTTATCAACCATGGCTTTCCTGATGCTGCATCAGTTTAATGTCATTAAGAGAAGCTCCAGAGATATGTCAATTTCAGGATTTATCCAAACATTCATTTCTCTTTTCGTTCTGCATCATTCTCACCAGCACTCAAGAACTTGCTCTTGAGCTTTGAAATGCTCAGGAAGCTTGCCAACTGAAGTTCAACCTCTGGATGCTTTAAGCCCAAGAGTTTATATGGTAACCCTATCCTTTAAAAGAAAGGGCAAACAAGGCCAATCTCCTTTTCTAAGCCATTCTTCTTAAAAAATAAAATCAATTTTTGAGATGTCAAGGGAAACAACATAGCATCTTTAAAATAGGAAACAAATCTTTTCAACTTTTCCAATGTCTCCACTCATTTTTTATTGCAAAAATCACTGCTTATGACATTTGACATTTTCGTATCCTGGTTCCTCATTTAAAGCAGCAATATTTACTTCCTTAACATCAGCATATAGTTCAATGCTCTTTGCACCTTTAGGATAGAAACAACAACTGAGCTCTCCAATTGTTGATTGCATACCAACTAACCATTGATTGCTGAATCTAATTTCCTCTGTCACCAGCCATTTAGACCCTTTTTGTTGATAAAAAAAGGATCAATTATAGTTTATCATGACAGGATTATCAATTTTATAAACTCCAGGCCAAAATTTGGGGCAGCAAGGTTCATTATTCCATTTAAGTTTACCTTGTTTTCTATATTTCCTTTGAAGATCAACAAGAAAATTCTGTAACAGGCTTTTATACCTTTTTGTTGATCAAAAAAGGATCAATTATAGTGTTTAGAAGAAAGGACTATCAATTTTATAATCTCCAGGCCAGAATTTGGGGCAGCATTGTTTTTTATTGCATTGAAGTTTAGCTTGTTTTCTTTGTCTCCTTTCAAAATCAACAAGAAAAATCTGCCTTAGTAATCTTGGTGATAGACGAGGGAAGAAAGATCAGAGAAGAGGAAGAATTCCTTAGCACTCATACCAGAATGATGCAGCACCAAGAAATGCGTCTAGTTAAGATTCATTTAAAACTTTAGTTGTCCAAACTTCAAAATATGGAGAGAGCAGAGTCAGAAACTTTAGGAGGAAGAAAAATGGAAAAGTAAGATACTAAGGAGAAGTATTAATTCAAAGAAGTCTACCTATATTTCGTTGGGATTGACCACTGAAGGAAGGTCCTATGCAGAAACAAAAGAAAGCACAACACCACCGCAAAATCAAGTAACAAGCCAAGTCAAATTTGACAGGCTTAAGAGGCAGCTGCCAAATTGGCTTTTAACACTTAAAAGCTTGAATTTACAAAAACCTACTTTCTGACATTCAAAAGACTTCATTTCTCTATTTTGCACTTCAACGCTCTAATCTAACAAAATACTACAAGAAGTTCCTTGATATATATCTAAAGCATATCTAGCTAAATTCTGAATTTCTTGAAGTCCCCAAACAATCCTATTCTTGTCTTTCCATTCTGCATTGCAGGGTCTAAGAAAAAGAAATTTTGTTAGTGTATTACCATTTCTCCCACCATCGCCAAAAACTCAAAATGTTTAAGAAGCTAAGTAAATAGATTAAATTCTATATCTCCAAAAAATTATTATCATACTAAACTAGAGTAAAAAAAAAGTATTTACTACACCTAGCTTGCTGTAAGCCTGTACTTTGTTATCTTTTGCACTTTTCCAGAACATCATTCAACAAGCAGTGGGAGTACAAAGAACTTGAAATGATAAAGCAAATGCACTTACACTAAGCTTTAAACTACAAAAGCGCATCCATCCTTCACACGTCAAGCCCTTGTGTCCAGAAATTTAACAACTATGATACCTATGGCAATTTACTATAAAGAAGAAAAAAATGAAGAATAAATCATAATATAGTCATTATCGTTTATGCAATCTAATAATCAGTGTGCTAGTGCAATGCACACCTCAAAAGTGTTTTGATATTCGACAGGCAGACATCTTTGGGCAATCATTCTTTGTTTGATACAGAGAAATATCAACTTAGATTAAGATCATGACAAGCAAGCAGAGAGAAGGAAAACACTTGTATCAGATGTGCTAATTAATGGAAGACCAAAACTGACCAAAACACAAAGCTGGAAGGAAAGGAAGCACGATATGCATAGACATTTGATAACTTAATAGTTCAGAAAAAAAAAAAAAGAATTATTTAGTGGACATTAAGTTGAAGGAGTGCAGCAAATGGAACATTTGAATTTGAGAGTGCAAACAAGACGTGCCTTCTAGTAACAAAAGATAAGAAATATAAAAACACAATCATTAACATCACCAAACAGTATTGTGCAGCTTTCATCATTTAAAGGTCAAAATTTATTAAAAGATGTAATCTAGAGAAACTATAATTTCAGAACTAGAAGAAAGAGATGTAAGATCATAGCAGACAAAGCTGTCCCGAAAAGTAAATTTATGGGTTAAATACCAAAAACCCCCCTGTGGTTTGACTAATGTTCACTTTACCTCCCTCTGGTTTGGAAACCTACAATTTAACTCCCTGTCGTTTCAACTAAAGTGAAAGTCTAACAGAAAACATCTAAACGGTATTTCTGTTAGACTTTCACTTTAGTTGAAACGACAGGGAGTTAAATTGTAGGTTTCCAAACCATAGGGAGGTAAAGTGTACATTTGGCAAACCACAGGGGGGTTTTTGGTATTTTACCCATTCTCAAATGCACGAAACATTCTTCCAAGGGCTTGACTTATAGAGGGGCAATTTTGACATTTTCCTTTCAAACGTTAATTTAGATGTTTTTCGTCAGACTTTTACTTTAGTTGAAACGACGGGGAGTCAAATTGTAGGTTCCCAAACCATAGGGAGGTAAAGTGAACATTAGTCAAACCACAAGGGGGTTTTTGGTATTTAACCCTAAATTTAACGTAAATGAAGCAGAAACCTAGAAGACGTCCCTATAGTCACTAAAGAAAACTTCTTAAATGTTTAATCACTTGTGAATTTCCACCATTATTTTCATCTAAAACAACATCAAGGCCCTATTTCGCAAACCCCTACAGCTAAAAAGGAGGTGTACTAACTCAAAACTACAGAACCAGTATAACTTAATCAAACTTTGTAATTCAGTTACGAACTAAGAAAAGCATATCAGGAATGAAGCAAAATTTCCATCTGAGTAAGATATTCAAGAATGCTGGCCAAGAGAACAAGAGCTACCCTGAAGAATTAACAACTCCACCAATCTTTCAAAAGTCATGCCAAAAATAGAAGAAACACGAGTGAGTGAACCTGTTTTTGGAAATACTAAGCACCACAGAGAAAGAACAAAGAACTCATGGAACTCTTGTATGTCAAATTAGCATAACTTACAGGCTTGTATTTGGAAAGAACCATCTCACAGGAATCCCAATTGACCATTTACAAATGGATACTTCTCATACGCAATTTTTACTTCAATCATGTACATATCATGGAAACTTCAGAAGTATTTTTAACTCAGAATCTCAGAGTTTACTAAGCAAGAGAGTCGGAAGGGAGAACCGGGAGACGGAAAAACACATTGCACTCTGTATACTATGCTGAAATTATTAATCAAGGAATAACCTCAACAACGACTCTCCGCATTTTCTAGTGAACAAAATGAGGTGTACCATCATTATATAAATAGAAAAAAGTTTAACAGGTAATAAAAAAAGAGGTAAATCGTTCTTTTCTTTTTCTTGTTTCCATTTCCATCCATAGGAGGTATTTTCTGAAGCTGGTAAATTCCAACAAAACAAAGAGTGTACATCTCAATTTCCTTCCCGTTATTACCATTAATTTTTAGTTTCTTCACAATTCTTTTCCCTAGTTCTAAAATCCATGCTCACTATAACTAAGAGAGACCAAAAAAAAACCCCACTTTTGCAACTCTTACAAAAGCAAGCAGAAAGTACAGATAATCAGAACGTAACAATACAAGCACCAGAATCTCAAATCATATACATACCAAAATCCCAACAACACAAATATGAAAGAAATAAAACGAAAATAAAAAATCAACAAGGCAAGTTGGACGCATGAAAAAATTGTGATTAAGTAAATGTTAAAAGTCTAAGATTTTACCAGGGAGATGACCCACGAGGAGTGCAGGGTTTGAGAGTTTGGAGAGTGAGAGGGTGCAGGGTTTAAGCAAAGTGCTTGAAGAGTTTGCAGGACAAATGCTGAGAATTACGAGAGAAAGCGCTAAAAAGGGGCGCGGCTTCTGTATGCGACTTGGAAGAGTCGCGTAATGACATCAGAAGAAAGTTTTTTTTTTTTTTTTTTTTTTTTTTTGAAGGAAGTCAGAAGAAAGTATCATGAACAATCTATCTTTTTTTTTCAATCACAAAATTTTTTTACTATTAGTATTGTCGCCCATTTTTCACAATAAAAAATGTGTTTTTATTTTGAAAAATAAAGAAACGGCTTTAAAATGGGACTAAAGAGAATGCGACAGTTTAGACCAAACATTTAGGGCTTGTTTGGAAGTGAAGTTTTTGACCAAGTTTTTTAGTTACTAGTTTTTTAACAACTTTTGCTACAGGAACTGCAAAAAACTTATCAAAGTTTTTTACTTACACACTTCAAAATAATACACAAAAAACTTTGCCTTCAACTTTTCTTCTTTTTCCTCCCCCACCCAACCGGCCACCACCTCCACCACCACTTCCGATGCCGGTAACTATTCCGGCCTTCTTTCTTTTTTTTTTTTTTCTCCCTCCCCTCCTTTGACCGATATGTTGGTTTCCAAAATCTCTTTTTTTTTTTTTTCTTTCTCCTCCCCCTCCCTCTCTTTCCCTCTGCTTTCCCTCCCGCAGCTTGGGCAGAAGGAAAATTGCAAAAAAAAAAAAATTACACTCGACTGTTGCTGCTTATTCTATCGGCAAGATAAGGAGAGGAGAGGGAGATGGAACATTGGAAAAAAAATCATTTCTATTGCTGCAAAACTCATGTGCAAAACTCAGATGGCGGGAGAAGGAGAGGGAGGGGAGGCGGGGAAGCTTTTGCAGGGGTGGCGGGCAAAGAGGATGGCGAGAGAGGGAGAGGGAGGGGTGGTGGGGGAGCTTTTGCAAGGGTGGGGGAAGGGGTGACGGGGCAGAGGGGGAAGGGGCAGAGAGGGTGGCGGGGCGGAGGGCGAAGGCGCAAAGGGGGGTGGCGGGACAGAGGGGAGGAGAGGGGTGGCGGGTGGTGGCATTGATGGAATTGCTGTTGGGGGTGGCGGAGGTAACGGGGAAGGGGGAGGGGGAAGGAAGAAGAAGAAGAAGAAGAAAGAAAAAGAAAAAGAAAAAGAAAGAGAAAAAGAAAGAGAAAGAGAAAGAAAAAAAGAAAGAAAAAAAAGAAAAGGAAAAAAATAGTTTTTCACCCTACAAAAACTTCTACAAAATTTTTCATCTTACAAAAACTTCTACAAAATTTTTTAAAAAACTTTTACAGTGCACTACAGTAAAATTTTAGACAAACTCCAAAAAAACTTAGGTTCCAAACAGGCCCTTAGTCTGAAAAAAGTTTTTTTAAAAAATGGGGGTCGCCACTTAGTGTTGAGTTTAGGTGTACCAAATGACCCAAAAAATATTTTGAAAATAAATAATAATATAATATAATATAATGAAACGTTTTTTAGACGACTTCAAGTCTTTAAAAAACAAGAAAAAAATGCTCGAAAGTCACAGTTGAAAAAAAGTAAGGCAAAAAATTGATCAGTTTGAACCTAAACCACCCTTTCAACCTAGCAAAAACTAGTTGTAAGGTTTAGTCACATTTTTCCTAATTTAACCCTTCAAATTATCAAATTTGAATGTTTCCTATATAAATGCAAATTTAAACTTAAAAGAGACATTGAAGGGACAAAATGTATATTCAAGATCTAATTGGTACCAACCGCATTAATTGCAAAACCCAAGACAATCCCTAGAAGGGGTCACAACTATACAAAGATGAGGCTTGAAGAAAAAAGAAAATTAAATTATATATTTATATATATATAGGTATAAATGGTCAAAGAAAAGAGAATGCAATATAATCGATACGAGAAACGAAACTTGTGACACAATTTTCCTTTTTATAGAGTAGCAATACTGTGCTAAGGTTACAAAATCCTTACTCGTCCATTTCTGATATTCAAAGGGTGATTCTTCTAACCTAAACAAGTAAATGAACTAACTTATTTTCTAATTCTCTTAACGAAATGCAAGTCTAAATTATATGGCTGACGCATATGGGGGATAAAGGAATAATGTAAGGGAAAATATCATACAAATGGGAAAAATTGTCTAAAATAGGAAAAGTACGTCAAAATACAATGAATGACACACAAAAGATGAATCAAACGCGTGGACAGGGCCTACAGGTCTAACATTAAATTAGCCCATTTTTATAGATTTTCACTAGTATTGGACTAGCGAGGAAGCGATAAAAAAGACTAGTGCGGTGACATTGTGCATTCATCATTTGTAGTAAAACATTTAAAGCATAAATTAAAATAAATAAACATATAGAAACACGTAGAGCATATAGGCATAATAATCTAGATGCAAAATACTTAAGAAAACAAATAAAACACATAAGCACATATGCCATACAAACACAAAAACCTATTTATTACAATTAGGGACCTTATAACAATCTAAAATGGAAAAATATAAGAGAATAAAACCTATCTAACTTATTTATTACAGTTATCTATCTAATTACAATTTTTGTGCGAAAGAAAAATATAACCTATCTATTGCATCTTGGGTATTCAAATACCCTCCAAATAGTTGTTAAATAAACACGAAAATAAATATCAATTTAAAGTAAATAAATAAAAAAATACATAAGACATATAAACACATAAGAGCACGTAGCGCATGTAATCGAAATTTAAAGGATAATAGGGGTATCTCATTTTTGAAGAAATGAACTATAATAAGGGAAGATTACTCTATTCATGCTCAAAATCAACAAAATGATCACAACACTAATTGAATTGAAAATATTTAAAAAAGAGAACATAAAATTTACTAAATTCTCATTATCATGTCAAACACATAAAGAAACTTAAAAACATCCAAAAATTACAAGTTAAATGCACTCAAGAGTAAAATAATTAGCAATTAAAGAAAAGAAACAATCATAAAAAGCCATTAGGGACTAAATTGCAAAAATTAGAAAGTTTTTAGGGTCAAAATACAATTATTTAAAAGATTGGAGGGTAAAAACTAAATAAAGATAAAGTTTAGGAGCTAAAATACAATTAAATTAAGTCTAAATGAAAGAAATTCAAAATTTTTGGGCCAGAATAACATTACTCAAAAGATTAGAGACCAAATTGCAAGATTCTGTTTGTAATTCGAGAAAATTACAAATAAAACAATTTGGACCACACTACTTTGGCCCAAAAGAAAACAACGCAGATTGTCTTGTATAAAACAAACAAGCCTAACTAAAACCCCAAGTAGACTAGAAATAACACGTGCATTTAATTTTATTCCTTAACCCAACACTAAGCTCCGTCAAAAAATATACAACCATTCAATTTACACTAAATACTCATAGTATCAAATAATGGAAAGACATTTATACCCTTATTTCAATAAGTTAAACTTAATCGCTCACAACTTGTGGACTTGTTTGGGGCTGTTTGGCTATGAAAGTTAGCTTTGAAACTGGAGGAAAATGTAAGGCAAAATAGGGGAAATGCTGCCCGTATCTTTTCTTGTAGTGTAAGTGAGTGAAAGTGAAAGTGGAAATGTGATTTTTGGATGATTTGGACTTAGTTTGCTTAGGGATGCTTGAGTCCACGCTAGTGGTGGTATATGAGCTGAAATTTTGCCAAAATCCATACATTTTGCATGGTGAACGTGATGACCATTTTAGACATGATGTTTAGTTGTGTATATCAAGTTTTTAAACTTAAAATATTTTACTCGTTTTCTTCCAAAAACAAAAAAGAGCGAGCATGTATCTTGCATAGGGTTACTAAGCCATGAGCTCTATTTATATAAGTTCTATTTACATGATTTTCCTTTGATATTAACAAGCGAGGGTTGAGGTGTGAATCTAGGGCATTTTTGTTTTCCTTTTGCATATGATTTCACTCAAAGCACTTGTTACAAACTATTTCTTTACATGTGTGTTAGTTTTGAGCCAAGACAAGAGGTTTAAATGAAAGGAAATGGATTTTTTGAAATCATTTTCTAGTTGGACAATTTACAATTTTGTGCTTTGAAAGTCTTGTTCTAATTTTCTCAAACGTTTGATTATAATTGATGCTGTTGTTCTCCAAACGACTTTTGAAACATAGATTTAGTATGCACATGAGGTTTTCCCCTTGATTTGAACAAGAAAATATTATATTTTTTATAAGTTATATGGGTATAAAACTTGTAAATTGATGCATTTTCTAAAAGAAGTTTTGAAATTTCAATTTCTTCATGTAATTTGGCTTTGTTTTGCAAGTCTTTTAATATAGTATATGATCATAGGACTCGAGAGAGTTCAAGAAGACGAACTATGGTTGAAGTGAAAGGTTGTAATTGATTGGTGAGTGTTCCTTGGATGTTTGCGCTTCCAATGACTGTGAAATGTTGTGAATGTGTAGTTGAATGTTAAACGCTTTTCAATGATTGTTAAATGGATTTTTGATAGGCGAGTGTGTGTGAGGCCCCGAAATTTTACTTGTCTTTATAGCTCTTACTTGAACTTACTTGCGTTAAATTTTTGGTTGTTTTAATGGTTGAATTTGAGCCAAGGGAGTGAAATTTTGTTAAGAAAAGTTTCATTTTCTCAAGTTGTTAGAAAATCTAGAAATTTTCGCAAGAGGCCCTGCGCAGCTTTGGGAAATTGGCTATAACTTCGTATAGAAAAGTCAGAATTCAGTTCCGTTTGTTGCGTTTGAAAATAGACTTATAGGGGTTCCTATGCTATAAAATTCAAAATTTGATTTAATTTCTATAAATACCAGAAAATGGGCAAATTTGACTGAAAATTCTGCCATGCGCAAGTAAAAACTAGAATGTTGTAGTAGCTTACGACTCAGTTTGGACCAACTTATGAACTGAATTTGTGACAACCCCACCTCCCCTAAGACTAACCAAAGGGTTCGGCGAACCGCCTACCCAACTCTCGTCGGGACTCACTACAATCCTTAAATAAAAAAATAGATCGATTCCAATGACTACATCTAAA